GTTATGTTATGATGAAACATTTTTTATCACATAATAAAAGAAAAAAACCTGATGTCATCATCACCCACTCTCAATTGCAAAAAAACAACATTATCATCAATGACAATAACATTTTTTTTCAAGATAAAATACCTTCTTAAGTTGCAATTTTAAATAGAAAAACAAAATAATCGTTTTCTGTTATGTATTAAAAAAAATTAACTTTATTGAAATTAAGATAATATTATCAAAATTTTATTAAAATTAGTTTACAGAATAATTCTCAAGGTAGGCTATTTCATTTCCAATTGTTTCTACTCTATTTTTTTTACTCAATATATTTAATTATATGACGACTAATTACGCATATTGAACGCACCAGAATGTTTTATCTTTAGGAAAATAATACTATTGAATTCATTCATTTTATAATATTATTAAGAAACTCGTATTTCATAACATAACTCGAGACTCATATTGAATCAATCGAATGTAGGTCAAGATATTTTGGGAAAATACTCAAACTAGAAGAAAAAATAGAAGTTTATTTTCAACGAAGCTGATAAATGAAACTCATTCGTTTATAATTCTTTAATTTTTCAAGAAAGCTAACGAATCATCATTTCTAAAACTGATATCAGATTGAAGAAAATCATGTTTGACTCCTTCAAACAAGTGCCACATATACGTGATGTCTCTAAAGATATTCTTCTGGTCTGCTTTAGAACGTTTGTCGCAAGTCAGTAAAACTTTCGTGTACACTCATTTGTTTTTGTTTCCTGCTGTAAACCATTCTCATTTTCTTTATTTCAAACTGCGCTGCGTTGTCAATATACAATGGTAGACAAACTATAACTCAATTACAAATAAAAACTAACAGCACGCTCTATGAAAATATCAGTTGTATATACTGTAGGTGAGATGTGAAAAAACATACTCAAATATACATGAGCAAAAAAAGTTACTATGCGGAAAGTCTATAGTTGTAGACATACATAGATCTCAATGTGGGAAGAACTGAGCTGAGCTAATCTTTTCCTATCATTTTATACGTCGCGTCTGCAAAAATTTTGAAATGTTATTAGAAAACTACCTGCTCATTTTTAGGAGGCAGCTTTTTCTCAGTCACTTTCTTTTAGGCAGACTGTCTCTGACTATCTATCAAACTTTAAATACTTTCTACTTCTAGCAACTACCGAGAGCCCTGCTAGTTGAAGGAAAGAAAAATCACTGGGAAGAATCTATATGACAGAAAGTAACGAAGAATAGGCATAGATGATATGCTAAGAGGAACCAACGTTGAAATTCGTTGAATTTTTTTAATTGGGACAGATCTAGTTGATTTTCTTCTTTTCAAGTGAGTTTGGTCAGCTGATTTAATTTTTTGGTTAAACCGTCAAATATCCAACAAAATTCATCCGATTAAGTTTCAGTTCAGACTTGAAGCTGGACAGTTCAACCGGTCGAGTTTTATCGATTTTTTTTCAATTTTTCAGGGCCAAAAGTTAATCTGTTTTTTGCTTATTTTTATCGATCTTCCTTTGTTAGCAATCCAGAAAAAATGAATCGAGTATCCCTAGCTGACAAATTTCTATATAATTGTCATCGTTGAAATTCTATTTCTAATTTTTGAGCACCCTCTTTTCCATCATATGATGAGAGATCTTGTACTATACTGAACGGATTGATGATGATCAAGAAAAGTTAATAGCAATTTAGAACTTGAATGCGCTCGAAACTAGAAAATTTTCATCTGAAAATATTGAGCTCATCCTGAATTGCGTTTAACTGCCTGTCAAAAATTTTCAATAGATAGTAGTTCTCAGTTTCTGTTTATATTTCCTAAGCAACAGAAAATATTTTCGTTTTGTTATGTAAGCTTTGTCAGTTGTTAGCCTGATGCAAATGTAAAGATATTATAGATCTTGGAAAGACCTCAAAATTTGAAGTTCATTTCAAAAATTGAACTTTGTGACTTATATTTTCGTCTTCTACCAGTGGCGTTCACCTTATGAGTGTGGATGTGGGTGAAGAGAAGACACAAAGTCACACTCACATCCACACCCAAAGTTTCTAAGTCTACATTTGGAAAGTGCACCAAATTCTGGTCCTAATTCATAGCTTTTGTATCTTCGGAAACATTTTCAAGAGAGCCAAAATTACACCAATATTTTGTTTCAAAACTTTTTGCCCACCTGTTAGGCATATTGATCACCGTTTTTCATTGTTGATACTTTTAAAATCGGCAAAACGAAATGATCAAAGGCTATTGGTAGTATGCGAGAGTACACCAATAAGGTCCATAATGAGGAACGAGTTCAAATATGATTGGGTTTAACGTAACGTCGAACTTGTCATTTTGTACTGTTTCAAAGATTATTGTTCTATGAAATACTTCTAGAAGCTTCCCTTAAAACTGACACAAATCAATATTTTACGTGAAATTATCGAAAAATTTTATTTTCCTTAAAATTAACTTCATCTTGAAGGAATTAATCTGTTTTCAATTGTTAAGTAATGAATATAATTTATTTAGATTCCGATATAACATCTTAGTTGAAATGGTATCGATAACGGGATTGAAACACATGTTTTTATATTTGGCTGTCACTATAGGAACATCATCATTAGCATATAAAATTTGGTTATCGATCAACAAAAATTTTCTTTCATATCGTCGTAAAAGTATCTCCTCTAAAAAGAATGTTTATATAAATGGAATGTCATGTTGTTTTCCACCAAATTGTTATCGTCAAACACAAATGTGCAATATGTTTATCAAAAATTATTGTGCTGGTCAAACAAATATAATTCCTAAAGATTTAGATTTTATTCATCGAGTATTTTCTGCAGCACTAATTGAAACATGTTATGTCAATTTACCAGAAGATCGTTTATTTATTCGAATGAAACGTGAAGAATACATAGAATATGTAAAAAGAACAATGTTATCAATGGCATGTCAATCTGCAAGAAATGCGATTGATAATTCCAATGGATTAAAACTGGATCAGATAACACATATTGTATTTGGAACGATGACAGCAACAATCAGCGCTCCATCAATGGATATATTCATAGCAAAAGAACTTGGTCTTAATCCAACTGTCAAACGTTTGAATGTTGAAGCAATGGGATGTTTAACAGGCTTTCGTTTAGTTGGTTTATGTCGAGACATTGCCCTTCAATCAGAAAGTAATATTGTTTTATTAATTGTTAGTGATATTCGATCAGCATTAGGAAATCAATTAACACCATTTATTCCAATGGAACCAATCGATAGATCAAATGTCATAATTGCCGCTCTTTTTCGTGATGCATGTGGTGCAGCTATTTTCTCACAAAAAATTCCAAATCATTGTTGTACTGTAATAGATCACCGTTCGGGAATAATTGAAAATACATTAGAACTGGGCCGTGTAAAGGAATTTAATGATTCAAGTATTCATTTATATTTAGACAAACAATTACCATATGCTGTATTTAATTATGTACCAAATGTAGTAAATAAATTACTCGAAGAGTATAAAATAGATATACAAACATGTCAATTTGCAGTTCATACAGGTGGACCGAAAATAATTCGTGGAATTCAACAATGCTTAGATCTTCAACCTGAACAAGTATGTGCGTCTTGGTATGTTATGATTAATTATGGAAACCTTAGTGGAAGTAGTAATCTTGTTGTTGTTGAACATTTTCGTCGTTGGAAATATTCATCTACTAAACCTATTTGTAAAAATATCGTCTTTCCAGAAGACTTTAACAAATACAAATATATAATTGGCCTTTCATTTGGACCTGGAATCGCTGTTGAATGTGTTTTATTTGGATTAGAATGAAACATTTCATCTTCTCTCACCTTTATGTTGCTAATTTCGGCTTTTTTTTGTTACTTTTTCTTGTGAAATAAATAACAATAACTTTTTGATTGAGTTTTTAGATTATGGTTCAAAATAAAGAACATAATGTAAGGTAGAAGAACTAAATTCTGAGTGACTTAGAGAAAAACAAAGAACGAAAGGATTTCACGTACGATTTGGAATTCGTTCTTTGTTATTCTTTTTACGGTGATGCTAAGAACATTTTTGTAGAAAATTAGAATCCATTATTCATGATTTTAAACACGAATAATCAAGGAAGTGTTCTGGATAGGCGAAAGCCGTTTTCTGATGAAATGAAAGCGTTCTTGGTCGTTCTATTTTGAAGCGCATTGCATTTTTGTTGGAACGGTTATTTTTTCTTTACAAAAACGACTTTTAATTTTATGAAATACATCCTTTGCATTGTTTTATTCAAAGAATATTTTCCACTGACTAGAAAAGAAAATAAAGTCATTTCTTGGTACTTTTTTTTCACATTTTATGACAGTTCAGCTTTCGAACTCAAATAAAAAGAACCGCATATGTTCTTTAAAAGAAAAGTTTCTATATGTAAATATTTTACTATTTGCTATTAGATACCTATTCGTATGCACAAGACAATCATATAAATGGATATTATATATTTTACTGGTGAACTAACATGCATAGGTATCTGTTCAGAACATATACTGGTTGCATACATACGTTACTTTAAAGCTGAATTATATTTTTCATAGATTTTACTTAATCAGCACAAATTATATGAGACAGAAATGACAAATTCCTGGACATTTTCCATCTTTATGGAAAAAATGTAGGCAAAATGGGAGAATCAATCACAATATTGAATCATTGCAACTTGAACATAGAGAAACTTCGAAGATTTTCGTTAGACCTGCTACGTCGTAATCTCTCCTTATCTCGTCTGTCTCCAAGAAATACCATTCCCTACTCAGGACTCTGTTCTGTTTTGAACTCTGAATTCTTGTCTGAACTCTTCTATAGTTGTTGACTAGATCATTTTAGCTTAAAATATAAATATTGATTGATGCGCAAACAAAAGCTTTTCTGTCCTTTTATCTTTACAGTTTCTTTTTTATTAAAAAATTAAAAAAATATATATATAATTATTAAAGATACTTAATAAAAAAAAAAACATCATTTATAAGTGATTAAATATTCTGCATATGCTTGTGCATCATGATAAGTAACAAAGATATGGTTTCCATCAGTTGTTGTATCAAATCCTGGAGGTCTAGTTTTCATTGATGGATTTCCTAAAATTGTCTTTCCAATAAGGACGCGTGCAATAAACATTGAACGTTCTCCATTCGAATTTGGTTTAGCAAATTGATTACTGTAAGTTGCATCCGATGAAAAATAAACTCCAATTCCATATGATGTACCTAAACAAAATATAAATAAATGTTTCTCTAAAATAAATCTATCAAACCATTAAGACCAGCAAAACTTCTATTAAAACAATCAGCAATAATTGAATCAACAGCATTACTTGGACAACCGTGATATAAACGTTTTTCAGTATTTTTATTTAATCTTTTAAAGAAATCTTTTTTATGCGCCAAATATTGAAAATACCATCGTTCATTTTGAATTCTTTCAATTTGAATTATTCTTTTAATTTTTCCTTTCATAGCTCGATAAAATTCATCTGCAATTGTTTTATATTCATCGAGTTTAAATGAAACTATAAAACGAAAACTATTTCCAGCAGCTAATTCCCATGTTGAAGGAACTTTATCATCATTTGTTGGTTCGATATCTATAAAGAAAAAATTTTTTATGAAATATTATAAATTTTATTTTAAAATTTGACCTTGTTCAGTTTTTAATAGTTCTTGATGAAATTCTTGATAGATTTCATCTTGATCCGGTAAAATAATAAATTTAACAGTTAATGAAAGATTACGATTTTTAATTTGATAAATTAATTGATTAATTAATGTTTGAATTATAATCGAAGTTGAAATATTTGAATGAGCACAACCAATAGGTGGAAATGCAATTGAATCAAATTTATATGCAAGAACATTTTGAATAACATTCCAAATAAAATCAACTATTGATTGTCGAAGTAAATTCTCATTTTCATCTGGTACCCATTTAAGAAAAAATATTCTTTTACATGGTAAATTTCCAGGTGGAGTTGATATTAATAAACAATCTGGATTAGTTTTATTTTCTTTTTCGTATGCTCCATAAACTTCTTCACCACCTTCCATTATAACGATTTGTCGAAGATAATCTGATGATGAACTTATAACAATAACATCAACCTATATTAATTGAAATGAAAAAAAAACTTTTCAATGAAATTCTTGATGAATTTCTATATATCTATATAATAATTGTAATACGATCAATCTTCAATAGATAATAATTACACTTCAATATTAATTAATCATTAGAGAAATATTCTGTGTTATTGTATTTGTATATGTACGAAATACGATTTTTTTTTTGTTTTGTTGGATTAAATTGATGCATTATTTTATTAGAATCATTTTCTTAATCGTTAATTATATTTCAACAAATTCTATTTTGTATTTTAAGAATTCATCAAATCTTAAAATTGATTTCTATAAAAAGTTTGAAGTTAATTCATTGAAAGTTTTTATGTCAGTCGAATATTGACTATGATATATCCTATCATGAAATTATTTTATCACATCAAAAAGCACACTCTTGATTATTTATCATCTTCGAAACTATTTTATGATTAATCGAGCTAAAAAGATATTTCGAAAAATTCTAAAAGTTTCTGAAAGTTAATTTCACTCTTATTCAAAACTTTGTTCTATTGATAGAAGAGCTTTGGTCGACGACGTATCCTTTAGAATCGATTATAAGACAGAAACTCAAACGATTCATTTTTTTTACTATAGTCACTGAGGATAGACGAGATATAAAAATCTCAACTAGAAATAGAGACCTAGATCAAATCGAATAAACGAATAATTCGATTCGATTCGATTCAATACTTGAAAAGTAGGCTAGATCAAATTGAATGGAGATGCTTTTATTCAGGTTATTCTTTCGGTCACACACTCATCAGAAAAAAAAACAAAAAGAAACGTTCGAAAACAGAAGAAGTTAACATATATTCAATCACAGTTTGATAAGCATAAACAAAATACAGATGATATGTTATCTTATAAAAGAGAAATAAAGTAAAATATTGATTATCATCGCTCAGTATTTTGTTCAATGACACTTCTCGTTATCCTATTTCGACAATCATTGAGTAATAGTCGAGCACGAAAAAGCCAAAAAGAGATCATATAAAAATTGTTTGTGATGAAAAATAACTGGAAAATCCAGAACAAAAAAAAAACAAAAGCTCAAACTTTCAGGTATACATGTGTAATTGACATTAATTAAATTGACTTAGGAATGTCATGTCAAACTGATAATTGACTAAAATAAGTTATACAGATACAAAAAGAAAAGAATAATAATTTAGAAGTTATAACCAAGTCCGTCTAGTTTATGAAAACAGAACTCCAAATCAGTGGCGAATGTGTCATCAAATGACGCAGACGTTTACTATTATTTAAATATGCTTGGATAAATTTGACACTTTTTCGATAGTTATTTACATACAACTTCATAACTGTCTTTTGCTATGAGAAGCTTAATAAAAACAAAATATTTTTATTTTTAATTATATACTTATGTCAGAAAAATAATGCATATTTTTAATAATTTCAAGATTGCTGAGTGATTTCTGTTTTATTATTTCTTTTGTATCAGTTTAACACATTCCTTTCAAATAAAGGCTTTGCGTTGGAACAAACTGTTATTCTTTTTGTCATAAAGTGTTTCGGCTAATTTTCGTTGCTATCACTTTTCCATCGTTCAATTTTGATAGATGCACTCACTGCATGAAATTTCAATCTCTCAGACTTCAATCATATCATTGTTCTCGGCCTCATTGATATTAAGTTTTTAGGAGTAATTTTATTGCATAAAATATACCTTATATTATGGTTTTTGTTTTAAACAAATAAATGATCTTTGAATATGTATGAATTAATCACATCCAGAAAAGGTGACTAGTAGAACAAGATATAGAAAAAATAAGTCACTTATTCAGAAAAGAGCATTAGAATCTAAATAGTAGATGATACGTGCCAAAATAAGACTATCCTTTAATCAAACTCATATATATTTTGCACGAAAATATGATGGGTGAAAGCTTATCTCGCAATGGGAAAAGATACATCAGTAATAACTTTGTTTAAATCATTATAGAAATTTCGACAATCTTTGAAAGCATTCTATCAATCAAAGATTTCTATTTCAGATTCTAACTAGTCGAAATATTGCGAATTTTATTATTTAATACAAGGAAAGGATCGTATTGTAGGCGTCAACCAGTAGGGTTGCGATATTATTAATCTAACAGTCCAGAATAGGACGGACATAGAAAAGTATGAAGTAATTCAATTCGAAGTTTCGGTTAAACTCAACAATATATGTCAAAGCTCATCACGAGAAAGGATGATATGCTCGAAAGCTTACTCAACGACTAAACCAATGTGTATAGCAGGCTAATATGGTGATTGAGCCGATGAAACAAACAATAAAATGATATTTGTTGCTTCTTATGATATTTATCGTATATATTATCATTACGAGAAAACAAATTATGTAGTATTGATGTAGATGACAATACAAATAAGTTTTTTTTCATATAACGATGTTAAATGAATCTAATAAATTTATAGGATAGAAATTTTAAATGGAAATATTTTCGAAATGATAAAATTTCCGCGTGTATCTATCAATTAAAACATTGTTAGAATTTTAATTTGCTCATTCATTTGACATTTATTAAAATAAATTATTTTAACTTGCTTGACAATATTCTATAAATATTTAACAGTGAAAGTTTTGTAAGTTTCACATATTGGCTCTATATAGGGTTGTAGTGGCAAGTTTTTCTATAATAGTGTAAAACAAATGGAATCCGAAAAAAAAGGTTTTCTTATTCGTTTCGATCTCTAACTAAAAATTTCTACTGACTAATATTTCTTGAAAAATATAGACGAATTGCTAAAAAATATTCTCTATTAAATAAATGTTTTACTTTTTGCTTTGTAATATCTCCTTTTTCTATTTGTATTAAACCATTTTGAACTATTTTTGATACAAAACCCGTTGATGTTGATTGATTTAATACATTAATTTGTTTATCAAAATGATGAAAAACATCTTTCTTTGTTGATTGAATTATAAATGAAACAGAGATTTTATGTAAAATTTGTTCTTGATGAGCTTTATTAACCATTGTTTGAGCAACAATCTGAACTGGATATTGATAATCACCACAACCAATAGCTGGAAATGCAATACTTTTATAATTATCATCATGAGCTCTTTGCATAGCAATGCTTATTAAAATTTCAAGAGATTTTTTAACTAAATCTATATCTGATTCAGGTATCCAATGAATAAAATAAATTCTTTTGGATTTAATGTCTCCATCTGATTTAACACTAGTTAAAGAATTTTTCAATTTTTTCTCAAGTTGATTATTAATTGCAGTTCGAACTGATGATCCACCACATTCATAAATGATTTCTAATAAATATTTTGACGACCAACATACAACAATAACATCACTCTTCAATATTTTACAAAAGTTTTTTTTTTTTTGTTTTTTAAAAATTTATTTTAGATAAAACTTACTGTGTCTTTTATCAAATCTCCAAAACGGACAACCATAGATGCATTTTCCTTTCCATTATTATTTATTTCCTAAAATAAATTTAATTTCTTTATTCATAGCATCTCTATATATAATGTTCAGTGTGTGTGTCTGCCTGTCCGTGTCCAGATCAAAGATAAAAGATTAAAAGTCAAGACTCAAAAGTCAGGATATGGTTTCGTGTAGGGTGCGGTGGAGTGAGAGTAAGTGAGTGAGGGCTGATGTAGGGTGCAGTGGAGTCAAAGTGGGTGCGTGAGGGGTGGTATAGGATGTGGAGTGAAGGTGTTAGGTGTAGGGAATGAGGGGCAGTGTCGGAGTGAAGGATTAAGGTAGTGTGGTGTAAGGATGAGGAAGTGCAGTGCGAGAGTGAGGGAGTGTTGTTGGGTGAGAACATTATGATTTTTGGAGAGAAAATCGATTTTAATGGATTAAGGTTGTAGGGATTGAAATTGATTATATTTTAAAGCGATTATTGTGATTTTTCGGAAGAAAATCGATTTTAATTGATTCATGTAGAAATCGACTAAAATCAATTAGATTTTTAATGCATTATTGTGATTTTTGTGAAGAAAATCCATTTCAATGGATTACGGTTACAGTGGGTTCAAATCGATTTCTGTAGAAATCGATGAAAATCGATTATTGAATTTAATTTAATCGAAAACTGTCACATTTAATCGATTTTTTGTGCTTATTTCAGAAAAAATCGATTTTAATCACGTTTTGATTTTTTTACATGGGTATGGAACGGCCACTAACAATAATATCTAATAGGACGGTAACAAGTAAGTATACTACAGTTCGTGGCTAACGCGATGTGAAACCTCGCAGTTTTCCCAATGGCACTGCGATATTCTTAAAGAAAACGGCGATGAGTTTAAACATAGTGCGGTTGACTGTGATTTTAGTGAAAAATCTTTTCGGTAAGTATGTTTATAATTAAAGATAAAAATAATATGTAAATAAATAAATAAAATAAATAATTCTAAGATATTAGAGAAAAAAAGTTCGTTTTCAATTTTGATTTCTATGATATATAACTTACTGAATATTGATTTGTAACTGTTGTAGTTGATTGATGAATATGATCATTATTTGAAAATGTTGCTGCTGAATATGTTCGAAATAAAGGTAATATTTTTATATTTGTTAATGGTTGAAAATTATCAATAATAGTTTGATTATCGCTTGATATATATGTAGGTATCCATCGAATAAAACCGTTTATTGTGTTTTCATGATTAGAAAATGAAAATGTTTTTAAATTAAATTGAAATAAATCATTATTAATAAAAGGAAGATAAATATTTAAATATTTTCTTCTATAATTTAAAGCATCATCTAATTGTTGATTAATATAATTATTAAGATAAAACCAATGATTTAATTTAATTTGAATATGATCATTTGAATTGTTTTTTATATAAAAAACTTCTAATGATACTGATTTATTTGATTTAATTGAAATATGTTTGTCAAACATAATTTGCCATTTGGAATAAAAATTAAAATTAGCAATAGATGAACCTCGACATCTAATCCATAAATATTCATTATTTAATGAATTTGATTTTTGAAAACATAAAAATTGAATTAATGATATATTATATAAATTATTATCTATTTTCATAATTAAATCTGGATTAAAATTTTTCTGTAGTTGAACATAAAAAGATTGTTGTAATTGATTTGATTGATTATCATCAAAGATAATCCATTGATCAGAATAAATTGATTTATATTCCCATATTGAATCAAATATTAATTGATTAGTTTCTAAAATAGTTGATTCAGGAATATTTATATTTGAATTCGAATAATTAAAAATAAGAAAATCTTGAAAAAATTCTTTGATATTATTTCTTAATAAACCATTATAAATCGGTGTTTCTTGTGCATCATTTTTAATAAAATAATTAGCTTCATTATCAATTAAATATCTAACTATATCTATATGTCCATAAAAACAAGCAGCATGTAATGCTGTTGAACCAGATGTTGGACTTATGCGCGAATCTCTTGATAAATTTTGATTATATTTTCGATTTTGTACATTAACATAACATTTACCTTGTTCAATAAGATATTTAACAATATTTAGATGATTATTTCTTGATGATGAATATAATAATGTTGTATCCCAAATACCAGATTTATCTTTATATTTTGGATGTTTTTCAACAAAATTTTTAACTAATAATAAATTTCCATCAAATGAAGCTTGAAAAGCATCAAATGAATCAATTATAGCATAAAGATCATGAGATAAGTTTTTAAGAATATATGTTTTAATTGTTTCATTAAATATTCCTTTTGAATAATTGTAATTATAATTAGAAAAAAAATCTAAAAAATATTCTCGGTATCTCAAAGATAATAAATCAAGTAAACTTTTTAATTTATTATTTATCCGTATTGTAAGATTTTCCATCATTTGTTTATTTGAATCGACTTTATCACGGGAATTTGTATAAGATGATTGTTCAACATTTGTCTTTTCAATTATTTCAATTATTTCTTCCAAACATTTTTTTAAACGATTTTCATCATTTTCCAAAGACATTTTATGAAGATAATTTCGCTTAAATTTTACTTGTTATGACGTTTAATTTCGAAGTTCATTTTTTTTTGACGAATTTTCATGTGAATATGAAAAAGAAAAAACAAAAAAAAAGAGCTGACTTCCTATGAGAGTTTTATTTAAAAAAAGGTAACACGTATAAAGGCATTGGAGAGAAATAAAAAAACAACAAATTTGGTCAAAGAAAAGAAAAAGAAGGAAGACGATAAAAAGTCATATATATATATAAATGTCTCATGGATTATTTACTCGGAAGAAACATTTTTATAGGATACAAAAAAAGTTTTGTTTTTTTTTTCTTTTAAAAAAATGTTCTTATGATAAATGAATGTTACAAATTAAATGATAATATATTTTAATTCTATTACAAAACAACTTTTCAATATTGATTTCAAAGAGAATTTTTACTAAACAATATCTTTTTTATAGAGACGTTTTTGTTTTAAATACCGCTTAAGAATATTTTCATTTAAAAATTTATTTTCAATTAATTCTTATTAGAAATATAAAAAAATGTTCTCATTAGTTAAAATATTCTTTAGGTTTTAACGATTTTTTATCTGTAGATATATATAAATAGATATGTTAGAAATGTTTCTATTTATCTAATCTTTTTTCTAATTTAATTTTTATTAGCTTAAATAAATATTCGACAAATTTCATGATAAAAATGCGAGATCAATTTTATTTGAATGTAATTCAAAATAATTTTTTTCTTATTTGAAATAAAATTCAAACGAATAAATATTTGATTTTGTAATTTTAATTAAGAAAAAGTAAAGTTAAATAAACGAATGAGACATATCGAAGTTCGATTTTAATAAAGAAAAGGAAAAAAGAAAGAAATTACTTTCATAAATATTTAAATAAAATGAATAAATTTGAAAATTTTTTTTTAATGAAAAACGTTCTTTTGTTTGCAATTCTTCGATTTGTAAAAATGTTTTTTTTTTGATTAAACGATGAAAAATTTTTCAAAAGGTTTTTATTAATCAATATTATCTTTGAATTAATTTTAATTGTGTCAAATTAATTATCTTAACCATAATAAATAAATGAGAATTAAGAAAATATTTTTCTATTTTTTTCTTTTTAACTAAAAAAGAAAAAGATTTACTTTATACGATTTATTTTCGAATTAATTAAATAAATTCTGTTTAATCTGTTATCGATTATAAAAAAAGAAGAGAATTTATTTAACTCTTTACTCGTATTGACAACTAGAATTGCCTCTTTTAGAAACATTGCAGATAATGCAGAACGCGAGATATTAGAAAACGCCTTACACATTATGTATAGGGAATTCTCTAAGCTACCAACTGGCAAAGAAAAATACTTTGTATCATTACTCTGTCTCCAAGATATACGACTTACAACAGAGACAACTGTGAGATTATGGAAAAAAAGGATCTTTTTTCAATTGTTTTTTTGTCAAGGAAAAATATATATCCTGATGATGTGCTATGTGAGGTGATATGGGGTCTGAAGATCTTCATTTCACCAACACCCACAGCCAGTTACTCACACTCTACTCACAAAAGATAAAAAATAGAATTTTTCATGTCGTTGCCCCTCAAAGGCAACTGGATATTCTATTTCGATAGTTGTTTTATTAATGACTCTCCTGAAACCGTTATAGGGAGAGAGGTAAAGAGTTAAATGATTTAGAATTTTAAAAAATCCCGTTTCTTAATTAACAGAAGATATGAAAATAAAAAGTCTCATTGAAATATTTCATTTATTCAAAATTATTTTTCGAATAAATAATTCGAGAAATTTCAAATCGATTTTTAAGATATACATTTAAATAAATTCACATTTCAAATAATTTGAATATTATTTTATTTCGTTCTCTTTTCGCTTTTTTATAAAAAAAAATATTCGAATAGGATTTTTCTTATTGAGAATTTCTCGATGAAAAACCCATCTGCTTTTGCAATTATTTTAAAATTAAAGAAAAACTTTTTTTTTTATTTCAATGAATTAATTTTATTTTTTATAATTAAATAAATATTATGTTCAAAATTTATTTTATTTTATTTAAAAAACAAAGGAAATATTTCGTTTTTTTTCGTTAATAAAAATCAGAATAGAAGATAAATTAAGTACACCATGTTTAGAAAAAAAAAGGCGTAAGGTCAATGTGCCTCTATAGCTCAGTGGTAGAGCGCCAGTCTTGTAAACTGGAGGTCCGTAGTTCGATCCTGCGTGGAGGCATCAAACTTTTTTTATTTTAAATTATATTTTATTCGATAATCTTTTGTTTTTTTTTGTTATATTAAATTAGTTAATCATTTCATTCTCAAACGGTTTTTCTTTTTATTTAATAAATTTTTCATTAAAAAAAAGGATCAAATCCATGTAGTTATTCATTTAAAATATCACTAATAAAAAATCGATTAGAAAAGTAATCTTCTTTGGCTAGGTTTTTTTCAAAATTTTAATCATCCATTCATTAAAATTGTTTAAAAAGATTCTTATTTTGATAAAAACACAAAAGAGAATAAAAAAAGGTCTGTGTCTGTCTCAATAGAAGACACAAATACATATATTGATGTCTATATTGTTCATTTCATTAACACTTTTTTATTTGATTAGATGAATAAACATTCCGATGATACATAAAAATAATATTTATTTGACATAGAATTGTTAATAAAAATATTTATTTTGAGAGTAGATTTTTAATATCTCTGAAGAATATTATTTCTTATTATATTATATAGACAAGTATCTAAATAAGAGTTCTATATCAATGTTGTTTAACAAGATAATTAACTAGAATTTGTATTCAATTTTTTAAAATGAATTTATGTTTGATTATTTATAGACTATAACCATTATTTTAATACTTTATTGAAAATAAAATCAACAATGTTTTATTATCTTCACTAATCGAGTTTCTTGGATCTATTCTGTTCAGATTCTTGTTTTTCTTGATCGATCAGCCAAGATTCTTTTAACAGGAAAGAAAAAAAAAGATTTTTGTCTGATCGATCAAGAAAAACAAATATTTGCAAAGAATTACAAGATGATTAGAATTTCTTGAAGTTCACACAAGTTTCCAATGACAGGACAGAAAAAAAGATTCTTGCTTGATCTTCATAATATGTCGCGTGATATCTTTGTGCACATATGTCTATATATATCAACATCTCTACATTATTTATTCATTTCTAATCCA